TTACAGGACTTGAGTGGTGGTGCTCAGCAAAGTGATCTGATCATGTAGACCACAGTCCACAGCCCAGGTAGCTTTTACCTTCAGACCCCTGAGCCCCACAGCCCATATGCCTGATGGCTAAGACTTAGGAAGATTTGGGGGCCTAGGTGACATGTTTCAGGTTTTCAGAGATTTTAAAAAAAAAAAAATTTTTTTTTTGTATTTGTGACGCTGGCTTGTTTTGATCTTGAGACACATGGGGCAAAAGGATGGTGAGATGCCGTGAGGCTGCTGGCCGTTGGAAGGTATGGTTGGGATGGGAAGGGGAAGTCGTGTGACGATGGCGTTCAGAAACATATGGCCCAGCTGTGTTCCCCATGTCTCCCCAGAAGAAAATGCCCAACAACCTGCTGCTGATCATTGTGCCCTCCCTGGTGGTATTCCTGCTGTGTGCATTGACTGTGGCGTTTCTTCTTCGAGGTAAGGAGGACAGGACCAGGGGGGATAGAGCCCTTCAGAGCTGCGGGGACTCTAGGAGGACCTGGGAGTAGATTGATTCTGCTTCCTGCCCCTTTTCTGCATTCCCCAGAGTCCCATTTCTATCATTGTCCCCATCCTGGTCAAGGAGGGGACAAATAAACGGATTCTCCCTAAGACACTAAAGGCTTCGTGTATCATCCTCCTGATACAGTTATATTTTGGAAAAGACAAAAAGAGAGCATTTCGTTTCTTGCGCACTGCTTCTGTGTCAGTCCTGATGCTGTACTGTTGATGTGCCTAACTCATTCCATCCCCGTTACTGCCTTAAGTGGAAAGCACTATGATTATCAGTCTTGGGGTGGAAGAACCCCTGGCTCAGCCTCCTCCTCTGGTAGGATTGCCCCAGGAAGAAAGCCGTGACTGACCCCCAGTCTTCCCCTCAAAGAAAGCTTTCTTAGCCCAGGGTCCACAGCTAGAACAGGGGACAGTTGAATCCCTTGAAATGATGTACAAAAGTATGCATATGTTCTCACCTGCATTTTTCAAGGGGCAGGGTCCATAGTTGTTATTAGATTCTCTAGCTGGTCCATGACATTGCGCCCCACCACTCTCTCCCACATTGAGAAAGAAGTTTTAAAACACTGAAAAAAAAGGGGTCATACATGGAGTTTATAGTTTTCATGCAAAATGTAGGCAGGCATGTGGCACCTGGTCCTGTTGTGAAATGGGAAAAATTGTTCTGGAGTCATTTACAGGAACTGTTTCAAGGAAGTAGTGAGGAGATAAGACTAGTAACCATCTCAGCTTGTTTGAGCAAACGTAGTGAAACTTGCGTATTTCAAAACCTGCCCCTAGTGAACGTGGCAAAAAGGAAATTTGGAACTTGGAGGAAGCCTGCCATAAGCCCTCATACAAAGGCATGTTACAGTTGGGGGAATTCTGGGTACATCTCATAAAGAGGTGTTTTAAACCCAAATGAGTACTTGTGTTCTGGGTGGGCAAATGACTCAAGGATGAGGCAGCCTAACACCATTGCCCACAACATTGGAACAACTTGGTAATTGATGGGCACTGCTTGCGGGCTTAAAGAAGCAGTCAGTTTGATCAAGGAAAAAGAATGGCTTTCCCTGCCAAAGCCAGTCCCTAAATTCTCACCTTTGGACCACCTCTATTCTTCATAAGGTAGTTTTGGGCTTCCCCCAGCATTTCCAATGTTCGAGCATAGCACTCTATTTATACTATGGCCTTGTCTTTTCAGGGAAAGTCATGAAAGCCAATTGCTTCCAGAAACACACAAGGTAATTCATCTTGCATGACTGATTGTTGTAATGATAGTACAAGCTGTTACAAATGATTAGATACTACTCAGTGGTTTAATGACTCATGCTTGTCTTCTGATTAAATACAGGGTTGGAGAGATGGGACATTAGAGGTGAAAAGGATGTAGGGATTTAGCTCACATTAACCTCTGTCTTGGTTAACACTATGTTATGTTTGTACAAAATGCAAATACAAAGCCAGGTTGTATCAATAGAAGTATGGCGTGCAAAAGAAAGAAGGTGATAGATATGTCACTCTACTCTATGCTAGAAATTCTTTGTTCAAATCGGGGCAACTCACTTTAAAAGGACATTGTTAAACAAGAGTTCATGAAGAAGTGTTGTCAGTACAGAAAATAGAAAAAAAACAAACAAACGTGGAATATCATTCCTGGGATATGGCTTCCTCTGCCCAATTAGACTATGGAAGCAGTTTTTTGGATTTTTTTTGTTTTGTTTTTTAGTTTGAAGGGTCTCTGGAGAGGGATTTTTTGATATCTATCCTGCTGTATAACTTTTTGGGAAAGATGAAAAGATTTGGTGTAAACCGTGGTGAAGACTTTGCCTTCACTTAATAATTACATCAATGCCACAATGTCTGTCAACAAATGAATATTAACAAGTAGGGAAACTGAGGCTCAGCGAGGTGACTTTCCAAGGTCATACTTGGCGACCCTTTTTTGTAAATAAACACGTTTAGATCACGATTTTATATTTTCTAATATAAAAACTTTTATTTATTTTTTTCCTTTTAAAAAATTATTATTAGTTTCAGGTGTACAAAACAATGCAATAATTATCCTTTTCACCCCTCACAAAGTGACAACCCTCCTCCCCCCATCCACTGCTCCCCCACCCCCAATATCATACATATCTATTACAATTCCATTGACTCCATTCCCACACTATACTTCACATCCCATGACTATATATGTCTTAAATTATAGTTGACATATAATATTATTCAATGGCAGCTTCAGATGTACAGTGCAGTGGTCAGGCTTCTACACCATCCATGAAGTGGTCTCCCCAACAGGACATGAGTCCATCTGGCCCCCTAAAAAATATTTACAACATTATTGATTTTATTCCCCAAACTGTCTTTTCTAACCATGAGGTTAATGTTGTAGTGACCAGTTTATGTTGTCTCGTCCCTTCCCCTTCTCCGTCATCCCCACCCCCCTCCAATGTAGCAGTCATCAGTTTTTCCTCTGTGTCTCTGAGACTATTTCTGTTTACATTGCTCATTTATTCAGTTCCTTATATTCCATATATAAGTGAGATCATATGGTATTTGTCTTTCTCTGACTGACTTATTTCACTTAGCATAATGTTCTCTAGTTCCATCCATATCGTTGCAAGTGGTACGATTTCCTTCTTCTTTATAGCTGAATAATACTCCATTGTATAAATGTACCACAGTTTCTTAATCCAGTCGTCTACTGATGGGCATTTCGGTTGTTTCCAAGTCTTAGCTATTGTGAATAGCGCCGCTATGAAGATAGGGGTGCATATATTTTTTCGAATTAGTGTCTTGGGTTTTTCTGGATAAATACCTAAAAGTGGAATTGCTGGGTCATAAGGTAGCTAGCTCTATTTCCAGTTTTTTGAGATATCTCCATACTGATTTCCATAGTGGCTGCAGTAATCTGTAGTCCCACCAACAGTGCACCAGGGTTCCCTTTTCCCCACAACCTCTCCAGCTATTTGTTGTTTGTTGACTTACTGATGATAGTCATTCTGACCGGAGTGAAGTGATATCTCATTGTGGTTTTATTTGCATTTCTCTAATGATTAGTGAGGTCGAACATTTTTTCATATGCCTGTTGGCCATCTGTATGTCCTCTTTAGAGAAATGTCTCTTCATATCCTTTGCCCATTTTTTATTTTATTTTATTTTATTATTTTAAGATTTTTATTGGGGAATTGGGGGATGGGAACAGCTCTGGGGAATCAGGGAAGGGGAACAGACAAGTTGCTGTCCTTTTTGTTCTTCAGTCTAGTTGTGGAAGACGTTGCTTCACTGGCCCAAGTTGGCACCATCATTGCGCTCTTCCCGGGTGAAGCAGATCAGTCGCTGGCTTCTGGACAGCTGCTCACTGTGGCTGCTGGCTGCTCACGCTGGCTGCTGACTATATGGTAGCCCATACCTTTGCCCATTTTTTAATTGGGTTGTTTGTATTTTTGGTATTGAGTTGCATGAGTGTTTTATAAATTTTGGATATTAACCCCTTATCAGATATATCGTTGACAAAATCTTCTCCCATTCAGTAGGCTTCCTTTTTGTTTTATTGATAGTTTACTTTGTTGTGAAAAAACAATTTTAAGTTTGATGTAATCCCATATGTTCATTTTTTCTTTTACTTCCCTTGCCTGCAGGGATATATCAGTAAAAATATTGCTCAGGGTAATGTCTGCAAATTTACTCCCTATATTTTCTTCTAGGGGTTTTATGGTTTTAGGTCTTACATTTAAGTCTTTAATCCATTTTCAATTTGTTCTTGTATATGGCGTAAGGAGGTGGTCCAGTTTCATTTTTTTGCATGTGTCAGTCCAATTTTTCCCAGCACCATTTATTAAATAGACTATCTTTACCCCAATGTAAATTCTTGCTTCCATTGTCATAGACTAACTGTCCATATATGTATGGATTTATTTCTGGGCTCTCTACTTTCTGTTCCATTGATCTATGTGCCTGTTTTTATGCCAGTACCATGCTGTTTTGATTACTATAGACTTGTAGTATGTTTTGATGTCTGGTAGCATGATACCCCCAGCTTTGTTCTTATAATTCTCAGGAGTGCCATGGCTATTCGGGGTCTTTTATGGTTCCATAACATTTTAGGATTATATTTTCTATTTCTGTGAAAAATTGCCCTTGGTAGTTTGATAGAAATTGCATTGAATCTATTTAGGCAGTATGGACATTTTAACTACTAATATAGAAACTTTTAAATCCCCTCTTAGAATAGAGTGGCAAAAGCCCTTTGTCCCCTGCAGCCTCAGTTTTCCCATCTGTGAAACAACTGGATGGACTCTGAGCCCTTCTAACTCGAACAGCCTTCTAACAGTCATTTGTGTTGTAATGTAGCAGAGTCCATTTATTTCTGGGTTTCGTTGTTCCCATTATCAGCCTCTTTTTTGTCTTTGTAGGCTAGACAACGTTGGAGAAAGTAAAAATGTCCTCGATGACATGCAGCAAGGAAGAGAAGATGAAGATGGCCTTTTCACACTCTAATATGCCCCTTTTTCTTAGGCTTGAGGACAGGGGCTTTATGGGTGAATTGTTAAATAAGAGTGCTTGTTTTGTTTTATTTTTAAAGCTCCATCGATTCCATTGGTGTCACTGAGCCAGTCTTGCTCCAGTTTCACAAGTGAGAGATACTTTAGAGACCACACCTTCTCTGCTCTGTGCTTTAATCTCGTCTGCAGAATCACTGTGAAGTGATCTTCCACACTATGCTTGAACACTTTCACTGATGGTGAGCTCACTACCACACATAAGGGAGTCCACTCGATCTCAGGACAGCTTTGAGACTTAGAAATATGTAAATGAGTGTCTCTCTCATAGAGCACCTGCCTATCAGTCCTCCTTGAATTCACTGTGCTCACACAGAACATGTCTAAACTCTCTGTTGCCTGGTACTGCTCTAGATACAGGGAGGAGAATTTTGTGTCTCTCCAAACTGCCTCACCTCTGGGACAGGATTTCTGGCCCCTTCCCTACCCTAGTTCCCTTTGCCTTGTGTGCATTTGTGTCTCTCCGTTTATGATGAACTTGGAGTTCAGCGCCCCATTCCGGGTGTGGTATGAGCAGCCCTGGGTCTATGCTTTGTTATCAATGCAGGATATGACGTGGAATTGTAGCATAACTTTGACTCACCTCTAAAACTTCTCAGTTTTCTATTCACATCTGAGTGTCTTTAGAAATGACCGTGGTGTCACAGCTTAATTCTTGCTTGGGGAATTTAATTTTGGAAACAACCGAGGGTCCGTCAGAGCAAAACGTGGCGAATAACAGGGACATGCGACCAGCAAGGCCATCCAGATTCATCTCTCTCAATATAATTCGTGGAAATTTGGTCCTCAAGAGGAACAGATTTATTTTAAAACTTTCAGAACTAGCAGCATGAAGAACCCAGAGACAGAGATGAAAGCAAACGGTTATTGAATGAATGAATGAATGGGAAGAATGTGTACCTGAGTGAGAGGCTTCTGGTTGGGCAGAAGTGTGGCAAGTCAACCAGATGGGAAAGGAATATACTTCTGGTATACTTACAGCAACTGCAGCAGTAATGAAATAAGCACACTGTCTTTCGAGGACACACCCTTTTGTGTTTCTACTCTCTTGTCATTACTTTGAAGAGAGGAAAAATATCAGCCTCAGGACTTTACTGGGGCAGCCTGTAGATTGGACCCAGCAGTTAATGAAAAAATCCCCCTGTCACCTTAGCTCTTGGAAAACAACCTGCCCGGAGCAGCGTGCCTTCTGGCGCATTCTTGATTCTTTTGGTGCTGAGCAGCGTCAGGTTTAGCTTAAGGGAAGGAAACAACGAGCAGCAAGCGCCTAGCTTTCTTCCTGGGCTTGGTTTTCTCCGTGTTAACCTAAGATTCTGGAAACGACTTGACTGGTGTGCTAAACTTGATTTTAGAAACTGAGGGGGGAAATAGATCTAGAGTCAGGATTGGAGCCTCAGTTTCCCCATCTGGAAAACAGAGTGGGACTAGATGGACTTGAAGGGTCAGGTTCTAATATTTTGTCCATGATACACCCCATCCTAATGCAGCTCGTGCTCCCTAATCACCTTCAAAACAACCGCCACCAGCAATGCTACCACCAACTTGGGTCTGACTGGAGAAGGAAGATGGCAAGTCCTTCCTAAACAGAACGTTTAAGCTCAATAAATGTCTTTCTGTTTAGCAAGGGGCCGGGGGGAAGGAGGGGCTGGGGGGAAGGAGGCATCTTTAGTCTTCTCCCAAGTATATTTCTGAAACTCCTTGGTCAGACTAAGAAGCATTTAAAGGGGTACCCATAGCATTTCAGAGCCGGTAATGTCCTCCAGCAGAAGCTTCTTGCCTAGTAGTTCTCAACCTTAGCTGGACATTGCAATTAACTGGGAAAGTTTTAAAAAACCCCAATTCTAAAATCCCACTCTTTTTTTTTTTTTTTTTTTTTTAAA